GCTAATTCGGGTGCAACGTGGCAGTCCAAAATAACTGGAAGCTCACCAAGGAGTGCGGATACCTTTACCATTCCCAGAGAGGTATGGACTTGATTACCTGCAGTGGTAAAATAGATTCGGTTCGTGGTATCTGGAACCAAATTCAGTTGTTTCGCCAGAGATGAACGCATAACTGTTACCGATGCACCAGTGTCGATTAAACCTAAAGCCGATTGACCTTTGAAATGTACTCTGATCTTGGGTGTCGAAGACGCATCAGTGGGTACAGTAATGTTGTGAAGAACAGGAGAGATAAGACCAGCTTCGGGAGTAACAGAAATGTTGTGAACACTTGCACCATTTGTAGCAATAGGATCATGTCCGATAGGGATAACAGCATATTGACCTTGGACAGGGGAAACCGAAGAAACATATTGTACTGTTCCAGAAGGGATAGGAGCGACATTGGGAGTTGATTCCTTCACTTTTTCCACAGACTGGACCCGTTCGGTTTTTCTTGGACATTTCTTGGTGAGGTGTCCTTCGGTGCCGCAAATGCCACAAATGGGTTGCCCAGATGCAGCCCAACGACGCATAGGGTCTTCCTTTCGTTTATCAGGCTTACCAGAAGATCGTTGGTTACGGTGTTTTTGTACCGAGTCAACTTCCATAGGTGTAGGACCGTCGAAGATAGGAGCTTGTGGTTGAGGAGTCAAGAAATGATCATTACCCAATGACAATACCGATTCACGAATTGCTGCAGAAGCAGCCAGAGTCTTCCAGGTGTCAGAGGGATCGACAATGCCGAGTAAAGCAGTGTGGAGCTCAGGTCTCAAATTGTTGAAAAAGATGTTACGAAGGGTGTCGTCTGACAAAGTGTGACCTTCAGGAAAATCAGAAACAATAGTCTCGAAGTTCATTCGATATTCAGCAACGCGGCGTAGACCTTGTTTGAGTGATTCTAATCTTTGACGACAATTGGATTTTTGGATTGCAGGGTCGATACCGTACACGCTTTCAAGTTTGGTTTTGATATCGGTGCTGCTGGAGAAATCTGTTACACGCAATAACCAGTCGGTGGCTTCTTGAGGCAAATATTTGAGCATTTGCAAGTTCCTAGAGGTAGTACTATTCATACCGAGAGACTTAGCCGAGAGGTGGAATTGCTTGATCCAGTGTGAGATATCTTGACCTGGTTGAAACGGTGCCACAAGTGTTGTGTTGTTAACACGCTGTTCGGCCAACATGGATGCGAAGGAGTTCACCTCCTCGGGGTTAGAAGATGTAGACATGGATAGCGAGAGTACGAGGTAAGTACCGAGATAGAGATTCTAGAGATATATATAGGCGCAGGAAAAGAGCAGCTACTCCACCATAAAATAAGAGGGAAGTCGGTCGTTAAAGTGATACCAGATGATTGGTTGATAGTTTATAGAGTTAGGAATTTGTAGTTAAATTCCTTCGTAGCTAAACTTATTAACGAGACTTTTTGATGAGAATAAAGATACTGTTTTATTATATTATTTTGTTGGTTTTTATATGTATTGAATATGGTACTAAATTAGTTCTTTGACTAATGTTAACACTAAAGTATACTAATTTAGTGTTGGTCATCTTTTGATCTGTCTAATTTAGTAAAAAGGTTATTCTAACGCCGATCGCTCAATTGATGACATCGAGGCTCACGACAGCCTCTACAAATCGAGCTTAGGCTCAAGAAGACCAAGAACCAGAAAAGACGATTTGTACCACTCAAGAATAATCATATGAATCGGAAAAAGTCAAAACTGAATAACACCACTTTATTATATACAACATAACACCACTTCGGGTTCACCTATTTCATATCGATAACCTGTTTATATTATTCATCATCATTATCATTATCTGTCAGGAGCGGGGCGGGGCAAGAGAAGAACAGAATGATTATTAAGGTGAGGACAAGGCAAGAGAAATTATATATCTATTAGTATTAATATATATATAAAAGGAATGTAGGGTTTATTCAAAGAAACAGGAAAAATAGATAAGATCTTGAATACAGAAATAAGAATTGTGGTGATCTGCTATATTGTTGCTACATTAAATAAATCCATATCTATGACATCAATACATTAAGAATGATTAAGGAATCAATTACCCAATATAGATAGTTAGTACTATCATATCACAAGGTTACAAGAACACAGTGACTAAAGCTTACTAAAGATATGGAAGTACAATGTGTCTAAGATGACAGTAATTCCAAGTGTAACATATTTACAAAATAAGCAGTTAAAGGTAACAGGATACACACTGGGAAAATGATAACAACTTCAAAGATACACTAAAGATAGTGGTACAGCAGATAGTCTTTTTTATATAAATACTTGATCATTTTATTTCATAATAAAGACAATCTTATAAACAGTCTCAAATTATTCACATACTGCCTTATAATTTTACTTACCTCAAAACACAACAAGAATAAATAAACATGCTGTTATTTATATTAATTGACAGATTGGGTAAACAAGGGTCCGGGGATCAGATATACAGAGACAGATTATTAGTCATATTGAATTTGGGACATCTTTGGGGTAGCGGGCATAGATACAGAGGATAACATGGGCTGATATTATTAATGTTTTACAAGGGAGTTCAAAGGCAGAGGTACAAAGGAAACGGGTGTTAAATGGGTTTTACAAGGACAAGGGATAACGGAGATACATTATTTGGAACAGAGACGTTAGACAGGATACAATAGTGATGTTTGACAGTGACATGTGTGACAGGAGACAGAGAACAGGGAACAGGTGGAACAGGGACAATGGGCTAGTTGGGTTTCAATAATGATCTGAGACATTTTGCATGATAATATGCAACTGAAACCTAAGTGGTTCATGACATTATCATCATCATCATCATATTTATTATTATATTTATCACATCACCTATATCTTTACATTTAGTATATACACAGCGGCGCACCAAATGGTAAAATGTTGCTAAAACACACCAAAAACACACCATCATTGATTGCTTAAATGGCCGATTTAAGCAATCAATGATGGTGCATTTTGTGTAAATTCACAATGAATGATTGTTAAAACTCACATTGAATGGTTGTGCGTTTTCTCATCCAATGGTGGTTTTTTACCGTTATACGCTGTTTATTTATGCATGTATATGGACCTTTTAGCAATCGTACATTGCATTATTATTCGCACAGATGCATCCCTTTTACAAATACACACTTGATATTCAACACTAGTTTATTAATTGTTTACATGGATATTGTGATAATTATGGGTCAAGAAATAAAATGAAACTTTTGATAACTTTATTGTTTTTTTATAATAATAAAAAGACAAGAAGGATCCGTCTAGTTGAATAGTTAATTTCTGCTTTTATATGAGGTTATTAGTAGTCACAATAATGTCAATTATTGTGGATTGTGATCGTGTAACCTAATTCGACTACGGTATAATATGGCTAAATACCACATAACCCCCCATCAGTAGGAGATTAGGTGTTTTTTTTTTTTTTTTTTTTTTTCATTTGCGGAAACGAGGACTAAAACGAGTAGCTTTTGGATTAGACTTATGAAAAGCGACAGCTTGCGAATCAACAATAGGAGATCGTTTTCTTTTCAGTGAAAGAGTAGAGGGATCAACTACTTTATCTGTACTACTGGATGGAACATTGTCCAAGGGAATCTGATCAATCAATTTGCTAATAGATCCAGGAGGATTAGACTTCAAAACAGCAGAGCTAGATGGCGCATTGGTGATAACATTGTTCTTTTTGGGAACGTATTCCTTGCCAAGATGTTTCCAATAATTTCTAATGCATGTTACATCATTGAAATTATCAGTGGGAATCCATTCATCCCAATCACTACTATAATTCTTCCATCGAACGAGATACTCCATGTTACTGGGTTTACCCCGATGATTGAGGATTGCTTCAACTTCATAATTTTTTATTTCATTACCTTCATCATCAATGGCAATAATTTCATCGTGAGAAATTAATTTAAGTTCCACGGAAGTGTAATTACGAGGCATAATCATACCCATTGTATCACGCAAAACATAGGAATTACCTTGAGTTTTACGAACAACAGTGCATGGTCCAGTATACGCAGGAGATAATTGACCATCTTTTTCAATTCTTATCATAACATGGTCATTAGGCTTATACTCAACTAAAACATGGTTTTTGTTAAATTTCGCTTCTTCCAATTCAATTTGCAATTTTGTTTTTGCTTCAATAGCAGGAAAAACAATATCATTCATATAATCAATTCTTTTCATAAGTTCTTCATGGGACATAACTCTTTTATTTTCGCCTGTTTTCTTTTTATCATCATCTGCTGTGAAACCATAGGTTTCAGGCATTCGACGAGCAAAAAATAAAGAAAACGGTGAACTATTTAACTTCTTTGATAAACGATTGTTAAGAGCGAGTTGAACTGCATTTAAGTGGAGATCCCAGTTGGCTCCAACACCCTTCGTGGCTTTTGCTAAAAGCTTTTTTACAGATTGTACCATTCTTTCACTAACTCCATTTGCAGAAGCATGTAAAGGCGTAATAAAACGATGGTCGTAACCAAGAGCGTCAGCCAATTCCTTAGACAAATAACTTTTAAACTCAGATCCGTTATCTGATTGGACAATAGAAGGAACTCCGATAAGAGCAAATACGTCAGCAAGGACCTTCACGATAGTAGCTGTTTTCTTATCTTGCAAAGGTCTTAAAATACAAAAACGAGTACACACATCTACAATGACCATAAAATAGTTATTGTTAGAATCAGAAGTAGCAGAAATAGGACCACCTAAATCCATTGCAAGATGTTGACCAGGCAAATAGCTATAAATGTAACGAGCAGGATGAAAACCCCTTTTTTGGATATTATGTCGCATACAGTCATTACATTCACGCACGAATTTCACACAATCACCAATGAGATCAACCCAATGGAGACCTTCCTTATGAAGACGCTTAACCATTTGTTCGGCACCATAGTGACCAATGTTTGTATGAGCATCTTTCAATAACTGATCTCTTTTATCTTCAGGAGGAGTAAAATAGTCAGGACAAATTGTTTGGGCACTTTGTATGTAAAATAGGTTTTTAGATACACAATGCGAGTAATTAGGACTACTGTTACAGTCGACCGTGTTACTGGAATAAGCATTTATGAGATTAACGGTTCTCGAGTGATCGGAACTTTCAGCGCTGGCGCACCTTTCCTTATCAACGAGTATAAGATCTGAATTGATCTTCTTCTTAATATTAATATAGTACGATGTGGCATGGTTCTTCTTAAAAGAAGTAACATGTAACTTTTTCTTCAATTTTTCATGTTGGGCTTCTTCAACTTCTTTGGGAGGATAAAGACGAGATAAAGCATCAGGCAAGACATTGTCGATACCTTTAATATGGATTACCTTAAAATCATAATCCAGCAATATATCCAACCATTTAATAATCATGCGATTAGCAGATTTTTGACTAAAAACGTAACAAAGAGCTTGATGATCGGTATATAATGTAAACCGAGTTCCCCAAATAAATTTATGAAATTGATTAAGGGCATAAATTACTCCATTCAACTCTCGCATGGATGTTGAATACAACCTTTCATGTTTGTTGAAACTTCTCGACATAAAGCCAATATACTTTGTTACGACTACTTTTTCATTGTTATCATTGATACTTTCAAATTGCTGATATAATACACATCCTGTAGCAAAATCACTTGAATCTGTAGCTATACAGTAAGGGTGAGAATGATCAGGTTGAGACAAAACAACATCAGACTGTAATATCTTTTTAAGAGTATCAAAGTGCAATTGATGCGTGTTTGTCCATACAAAAGGTCCTTTTGACTTAATATCGTGAGATCTTAATTGGTCTAAAGGGGCCATTAACGAAGCAGCATTTGGAATATGTTGACGAAAGAAATTAACAAAGCCGAGAAACGATTGCGCTTGCTTTTGCGTTTGAGGAGGAGGCATAGCATCCAAATTTGTTAACTTTCTTTTATCAATTCTTTTACCCGAAGCAGAAAGAGAATATCCTAAAAGATAAACTGCAGACTTGGCAAAATGAGACTTATCGAAATTTATACGTAAATTATTATCCGTAAGGATATTTAATACTGTTTTGACGTGAGAAAAGTGGGCACTCATAGAGTTACTAGCAATACAAACATCATCAACAAAACAAGTAACAAAAGGTAGATCCTTAAATAAGGTTAACATGACTCTACTGAACAATTGACTAATTATGGAAATGCCAAAAGGCGCACCACGGTACATATATTGTAAGTTATTAGGCGCAGTAAATGTCGTTTTAATCTGATCAGCCTCATTGACTGGAAATTGATTAAAAGCGGATTTAAGATCGATCGTAGAAAAAACAACACAACCAGACATAGAATTAAAAATGTCATTGATTAATGGCAAACAATGAGAACTTTTCGATGATTCATCTAAAGCCTCATTCAATTTTCTAGGATCCAATAAAAGCCTAATATTCTTTTTATCCTTACACACAGCACCATTAACGTGGTCCTTTTTAAACGTAACAGTCATGGGTAAATTCCAACCTGATGGTTTAGCAGGAATAATAATACCATCTTTTAACCATGATTGAACAATTTCCATAACTGGTTCCTTCAATGCATACGGAATAGGATATTGTCTAATGTTGGCAATAAATCCCGGAGGAGTAGGTAAGTATAGTACCGCATCCTTAATTGTACATAGGGTGTTATTATCTAATTTCTTATTTTTATTTACATACGGAATAATTGCCTGATTAAAAGCATATTGTTCCCGTTGCGTACCGAATGGAGAAATATTCGGTTCATAAGCTTCATCATTTTTAGAGTCATCGTGTAACTCTTTTCTCATACTCTTATGTTTAACAGCAACGTTGGTTAAGTGAATACCAAGTTTTTGTAACAAATCAACACCGATCAATAGCTTTTGATCTTCTTTAACCATTTCATCATTAATTACATCGAATTTATGATTGATAATGTGATCGATGTTTTCATACTCAACTAATATGGGGTCAATGGTTTGTAAACGTGCTACTTTAGAACCATCGGCTAAAATTAAACAACCTTGCACGGAGTGAAATTTAATATCATTCGTAATGGCAAACGTTCTGCTTAGCAGACTTACACTTGCTCCTGTATCGATGATACCATAACATTCTATTTTATTTAAGGTTATTGGTGTAACTGGAGACAATGCGGGAGTGTCAGATAAAAACGGATTGTCAACAGTACCAACTAAATTATTTTTTACAGCAAAAACAAACTTATTATGATCATTACAATTATTAACTTTAGCAACAGGTAAGTATTCTTCAATAAAATCTTTATTCAAATAATCATCAAAGAACGCGTTATATTCATCTTCTGATGAATCATCAGAGTGGTACAAATTTTCATCCAGAAGTGCAAGTTCAGGAGGCGAAGGAGAGGAGTTACTATTGATTAATTGCGAATTAATATTTTGATCATTTTCATTGTTAATAGGAGCATGCAACTCATTAGGTGTTTCAGTAACATCTAATTTGCTAACATGTCTATCTTCATTATTATTTAAATTTACCAAAGAGGGCATGTTGTAGTTACGCTTCTTGAAGTAAGCAACCTTTGTGGGGCATGTAACACCGTGAGTACGCGTGTACTCAGCGGTCTTACAATAGGTACATAACCCAGCTTTTTTCAACCTTTCATGTTCAGAGGGGGACATGTACGAGAAGGACGAAGAGGACGAAGAGGACGAAGAGGGAGCGGACGAAGAGGACGAAGACGAAGATTGGTTTTCCAAACCAGAAATTTTTCTTTTCTTGTTGACTGATCTTTTTTGATTGTCAGCAGACAACAAGGTTTCAATTGCAGCGACATGGATGGACACTGTCTTTTCGAAAACTGCCCAACTGGCAGGGGCGTAATGAACTTTCTGTTCTGCTTCCAGAGAAAGTTCGGGGTCTTCAGAAATTACTTTCTGCTGATGGACACGAAGAACACCCTTAACTTTTCCCTTGACAGCGTCAGGCAAACAGTTCAAAAACATGTAGACTAAAACTACATTATTCTCATAATTGAGCTTGGCCTCAATAACTAACATACGGAATCTTTCCAAACAAAGGATGAAAGATTCACCAACTTGCATTTCGAAGTTTAGTAACTTCTGAGCCAACTCTTCAACACTGGACTGAGAAGCCATGTCAAATCGTTGCTCCAAAACAACTTTAGCATCCTTCCAAGAATACCCCCGAATCCTTAAGAGTAATCT